CCGCCGCACACAAAAACGACAGTAGCCACCCCGAATGCCCCCAGTGGGATGCGAAAAGCAGCTGTAAAGTTAGCCTCTTGCAAAACGATCGGTGTTGCGATACCTCCGATCAGCGAGCCGACATTGATAGCCGCATAGAAGTAGGTATAGTAGCTAGTGAGGCTTTCTTTGTGATAGTCGGGGTGGAACTGATGCGCACCCATGACATTCACGCAGCTCTTAATACCGCCACCACCGAGAGTGATGAGAACGAGCACAGACAAATGGATCATCCACGGTGCACTGATGCTCTTGACCGTCGATAAAAGAAGTAAGATCAGACCTATCATATACACGACAGAAAAGGACAAAATGGTAACATACACACCCAAGATGGTGTCAGAAAGCACCGCGGCGAAAAGCGGTGTGACATAAAGGATTGCCTGGAACGTTGCTATATAGGAGTTAGCTTCAGCGTCAGTGTAGTTCAAGTACTCCTTGAAGAAAGTCTGGGCGTTGGGCGTTATCCCGAAAAAAGCTAGGCGCTCACAGAACTCCTGCAAAAGGATGAAGATAACACCGTTGAGCATGGGCCTTTGGTAGTAGTGGTATATATTCCCCGACGAGTCGGTCCAGGACAAAGAATCTCGCTTGACAACCATGATAGGTTAAAAATAAAATCTGGAGAAAAAATCATGGAAAATTTTCGGACGACGACAATGCATTTATTCTCTGCATGAATAAGTACACACATATACTGTAGGTCTCTCCGTGCCGTGTACGACGAGCCACTCAACTCAGTGTCTCTGCGTCAAAGAAGAGCCATCTCGAGTGACCCTTGGAGGAAAGGAGTCTCTCCACGTCACGCTGTGCTGCACGCGTGTGCATCCTTTCAGACGACAGACGTGCATAATCTAGTTGATAATCTCAAGTTGACGATCCTTGTACTTCAGAAGTTCTTCACTGTGTCGCACTCATCAAATACGGATGACATGATCATACCATCATGGCCTTCCTAGCTTCACTTTCGTCCAGACTTCTTGGCAAGCACGCATGCGTTCAAACATCATGCGTGAACTTAGCTTATTACCCGTCACTGATAGTGATCTGAGCTCACCCATTGATAGTCAGTGAGACACTAAACTAGGCAACAGGTGAGCGCCCCACTGAGAGACCTAGAGGAGACCGGTCGAGGCGAAATTATCCAACATGGCTAGTATTCACGGTTTACCTATCTGATGCGGCGATCGACCTTCACGAGTTTCATTAAGACTCTCCCGGAGCATAGTTATGAACCATTACTATATACTGGCAACCGTTCACAACCACGGATAAACATGACATCATCCCGGCGGCGAGCCGACAAGTCGTCGTTGATGGATTCTGAACTGGGAGCAGGTTTCAGAACCGGTTTCCCAAGCAGATCCTGGAAGAAACCACTTGGACTCGGAAACTGGTAGAGGTCAAGTACTCCCACGAATCCTTATCCACTCATTATTTATTCCCTCATGACAGTGTGCATGTGATTCACATTTTGATCAACAGGAGAGATGATGTTTTAACAGCTAGTATAGATAGTTTGGTTGTCAGCGGAGCTGAAAGAGTATCATCACATATGATCAGGTCAAAGTGATGAAATAAAATTGATTCATCATCAACCAAATACATCTAGTCTCTCAGCGCCCAGTGCTAGGAAGTTTTATATCAACGCGCGTTAACGCTCATTCTAAGTGAATGTCAATAAAAAGTTGTCATCATTGGAGTTGAACAATGAGCTGTCTGTGTAACTATGACTATAAGAATTCATCTTAGGGAAGCCCTAATCCATGAAGGGATTTGTCTTCACTCAGCTCAACAGTTTGGTATTGTCGTTGGAGATTTCTCAATGAGAGAACAGCCCGAACGAGCGATTGTGGATCATAGCGTTTCGATGACGTTTGCGCTCGCCATGATGATCGATGAGTTAAATTGCTTCAAAAAATGTGCCCTCTGTGGATAGAACCGCGATGCCTACCTCGGAGTGGCATAGCTGCCCCACGCAGAGAAACAGGTTGTATTGATGCATAGCTTGAGGTGGCGTAACTGCCCCGCGCGAAGAAATAGGTTGTCTCGACGCATAC